GCTGTTGTGTTACCTAGTTTGGGTGGTCATTTGTGCATTTCAGGGACAAGGGGGTGGGGGAGAGCTGGACCTAGCTTGGATCTGCCTATTAAGAGACTGTTTGCAGTGCTTCCTCCCTTGAAACCCACCTGCTTTGCATTGCTAAGCTTGATGACTTTTATATCTACCCATGACACCAATGCTGTCAAGCTCTGGCATAATCTGTGCAGGTGAAGACAGACGTCAGAACTTGTTTGTACAGAGACCTTTTGCATCTCTGTTAGCTCAATTTAGACAATTTACAATGCAATATTCATTGTTTACATAGAATTATCCCCTATTGAGTTCAGTGATGCTTACGCCTGGATCAGTTAAGTGTGAAAAGAATTGCGGCTTTAGTGACTAGTTTGGATTTTTTCCTAGGTGTATAATATCTCTAAATCATAAACCTAGCCAATTTATAGATAAACCTAATGCATGCCTCTTGCGTACTTCGGGTGTGTGAAATATTTTAATTGTTTTAAGATAATTTGAATCTTTCCTTGCCATTTTTTTTAAACGGGGGAACCATGGCATGCTCTCCTCCCTGAACTGCAGCTGGCACCAACATCATTTGTTGTTGTTGTTGTTTAGTCGTGTCCAACTCTTCGTGACCCCCTGGACCAGAGCACGCCAGGGACTCCTGCCTTCCACGGCCTCCTGCAGTTTGGTCAAACTCATGTTGGTAGCTTCAAGAACACTGTCCAACCATCTCGTCCTCTGTCGTCCCCTTCTCCTTGTGCCCTCCATCTTTCCCAACAGGCAGTGATCCATGAAGGGGCCGACATCCTTCAGTACTAGCTAAATACCTATCTCCTCATCTGGGCCAATTAGTGGCAATAGGAGTGAGATATTGAGGACAGCAGGGTATAAAATAAATTTTAAAAGCATAGGAGGTGCTGAATAACTCTTTCATTAAAACAAGTAAAAACAAAACAAGTGAAAGCAAAAAAGGTGTAAAAGGCAGCATGTCAGACTAAAAACCAGTCAGCATAATAGCTAGCATATAGGTGAGTGGAAAACTTGCTTAAATAGGCTAAACTAGGCAGCACAAAGTACAAAAGAAGGTGGTTAGACAAACCACCTGTAGAAAGGAATTCCACTTGTGCATACTTTTTGCATGGAATCCACTCCCACAAGACATAATGATGGTCACCAACTTGAATGGCTTTAAAAGAGTAGTTGTCAATGGCTACCAGTCAGAATGGTTTGCGTTCTTCTGCCTCCAAGGTTGGAGTCATTATTTCTCTGAATACTGATTGCTGGGAATCACAAGGGGGGAGAGTGCTGCTGCACTCACATCCTGTTTTGTAGGCTTCCATAATTGTCCACTGCTTGCTGGGCTAGAAGGCACTGTATCCTGACCCAGCAACCAGACTCTAATGGTTTTCTTAAGTGTGGCATGGCCACAGAAAAGGCCCTGTTGAACATCCCCAGGAATTTTACCTCGGCCTGTGTTGGAACACAGAGAAGAGCCTCTCCTTTGGAGCGTAGGAAAGATGTTACGGAAAGGGGCTGTCTTTCATAAAACAGGGGTGAAAATTCCCTACATTTCATAGACTCGTAGAGTTGGAAGGGACCACGAGGGTCATCTAGTCCAACCCCCTACAATGCAGTAAGCATCGCCCAAAATGGGGCATGATTCTGGAACTTTCCCAGTTCTTCATCATGAGGATGATGCTATTGATGACTGATATGTGAACTTTTGCCCTGCATCTTTCGTGCCCATGACTGAGAGAAGCCCTAGGGGAATGTGAAAACTGTCCTACTCTAGTAATGTTCTTCCAAACCAACATTTTTGAAATAGTGGCATGACAATGGCTGCTATTAATGATGGCAAAATGCATCCTTGAGGTTCAGATGCTGCATACCTTCAAATTCCAGCTGCTGGAGAGCAAGAGATAGCTGTGGCCAGCGTGTCCCTGCTCAAGGGCTTCCTGTAGGCATCTGGTTGGCCAGTGTGGGAAATGGGATGCTGGACTAGATAACTAGGTCTGATAATTTGCCCATCTCATAAGGAAAGGACCCTGTTCACCCACTCCCTCCTTGCTTCAGCTCCTGCCCTGTTCCAAAGACCGTGCTAGTTAATAACTTCAGGGTTTTATTAAGGTGAAAGTTGCCCTAGTGTGTGTCTGTGGCCACAGCCATTATGCGTGCTGGTTTATGGTCTGTTTTCTCTCAGTCTGTCAGCTCTCTCTTTCCCCACGCCAACTTGGTTGGAAGGAAAGTGAGCTGATTGTGAGTCATCTGTCAACTTAGATCATTGCCTTAAGATTTAGTTTCCATTTCCCAGGAGAACCAGCTTTATGGGAGGAATAGGCTTGATGGCATAAGCCAATTTGCTGCTCGTTGTCTTGGAAACCAAACTTTTGCATTCAAAAAGGTTTGTGTTTAAGTCTCCGCTTTTTAGGCAACCTTTTCAAGTTGGGAGACAAGCAGGAACGGCCCTTTCAGAGTTCCTGGTGGGTGTCCCTCAATAGCAACTTTTGGATGAGAGTCCTTTTCAGAAACAATTAAGTGAACCAACAAGGATAATGTTATTTTTCACTGCAAAAATAGCCGTAGGCCTTGGGAAGTTCTGGATGTGGACTTGGTCTGTATGTCCCGACTTTGTGTATCCCACACATTGCAGGCATTAAGAACATAAGATTCCTGCTGGATCAGACCAAAGGCCCGTCTTTCCAGCATCCAGTTCTCACAGTTGCCAGCCAGATGGCTGTGGGCTCCCTGCAAGCAGAACCCTAGACCAGTGTTTCCCAACCGGTGTTCCGCGGCACACTAGTGTGCCGTGAGACACCGGCTGGTGTGCCGTGGGAGGGAGGCGGGCGAGTCGGGCGGCGAGAGGCGGGGCGGCGGCGGCGAGCACACGCGGGGCGGCGAGCGAGCGAGCTCCCACATCCCATCGCCGCTCGCTTCGGCCGGCCTACTGGAGGAAGGCGCGAAAACCCGGCGGGCTTTTGGGTGGGCGCCAAGCAAGAAAGGCGGGAAGGCTCTGGTCCCTCCCCTCCCGGCGGGGCTCCCGCACGCACCTTTCTGCGCCGCCGCGTCCCGCCTGAGCAGCAACAGGAGGAGGAGGAGGGAGGCCAGCGCCGGCCGGGTCCCCCGGGGGAGCGGGCGCTCCGGGCTGCTCACCATACCCCGCGTCTCGGGCGCAGCAGCCGGCAGTCCGAATGCATCCCGAGCCGCGCTGCTCTCGCCTTGCCTCCTTCTTCGCGCCTCCTCCCGGCTCGCGCGCCGTCCCTGCGCGGATCCGTCCAGCCTCCGGCCGCCGCCGCCGCCCCCTCCTCTTCCTCTCCTTCCCCCACCCACCAACCCGCACGGCGCGCTCCCACCGCCCCCGATGGGCGCAACCACTTCCGGGTCCGCTGCAGCCGCCCCTTCCCCGCCTCCGGCAGCCGAAAGTCCCCCAGCGGAGCCCGTCTGGCCGCTCCCCCCGCTCCCTGCCCACCTCCCGGTGTTGAGGCGCCCTCTTTCATTGCTTCGCGGGGAGGGAAAAAACTTTGACTTTTGTGCGTCCCTCCCGGCGTGACGCTGCGCGCTGACGTCACGGGGCGGGGCTTTAATGGTGGTGTGCCGCGAGATTTTTTTCCGGTAAACAGGTGTGCCGTTGCCCAAAAACGTTTGGGAAACACTGCCCTAGACCAACAGGGCTGTCCCCCCCGGCCATTTCCAGGCTCTTCTTATCCCTCTTGCTCTGAAATGTAGCTTATAGGGGCACATGATTGTGTTTTCTCATCTGCAGCCAGATGTTGGCACAGTGAATTCCAAGGACTTCAGTGCTCTTCATACATGAACACATTTGGACAGCAAGTGACAACTGTTTTGCTTGAACACACATTTTGTGTGCCACCCTGCCATTTCTGTGTGTATTGTTGTTTTGCTGCTGAGGCTGCTTAGTTGATATTATTATTATTATTATTATTATTATTATTATGCTTTTCCAGCATGAGAGCCAGTGTGGTGTAGTGG